GTGGTGGCAACTAAGAAAGTTGTTCGGACCAGAGGATTTTCTATACAGGCGGTAGTAGCTGTGTTGCTGTCTGTTGTGGGGAGTCATTCGTCTGCTGCTGTGACTGTATCGTATCTAAGAATTCAAGCAGATTTGAGAGGTCTGTCACCTACAGCGTTTCATATGGACCTGTTTGCTGAGGGCGTGAACACAAAACGCACCCTCAGTGGGCGGATGTAACTGACTGGTCGTTCCCGATGGGCTTTATTTTGTGCGTTCTCTGCTGTCATATGGAAAACTCATGTGGAGGTTCCTGTGAACTTTGTCAGAAATGCTTTTCAGGCGTTAGTTTGATGAGTGCCTAGTGGCGCAGTAGTGACAGCTATCCTTCAGCTGGGCTGTTGGAAGTGTTCGGGAGGTTGGTCAGTTGGCGAACTGCTTTGGAGCAAGGTTAAAAATAACCAGTAGAAGTTGCTTATGCTTGGGCTGCTGGTGTAAAGGGTGTTTATTAAACTGTTATGACATTAATGTAACCATTGTTCGATACCCCTCATCTACCTTTATAGCTCTGAGTTTCTTGGATCAAAGGTAGCCAGAAGCTTAAAATAATACTTTGTTTATTTACCCCATCCCAAGTGCCTTTCCTCTCTCTTTGATGATGATGGTGTGGTCGGTTTGGTTTGGAACTTTTTGAAGACAGAGTGCGCTAGCTTTTTTTAGGTTGTAAGATTTCAGTGCTGGTGTTTGTCTTCACGTGTGTTTATATAGTACCTAAAATAGTGTGGCCACGGTCCTAACTGGGGATGTAAGGGTAATGCTTTGTTTAAGAACTTGAGTGCTCATTCATTCCTCCAAAGTATTTCTTATTGTAGGAAGTGTCTCTCGTTTCAGCATAGAATACATGGCTTTACAGTGTCAAATATCCTTTAGTTAACTTTTGTTGTTGTTTTTGTGTTCATTATCATGCTTCACCTATCTATATTTTTTTCCCCTCCTTCTTTTTTACTTCTTGGGGTAATATTCCAAATGTATCTGCAATCTGTGTTAAAAGAACAAACTTTAAAAATTCCTTGATAATACAAACTTCTGCAGAGATGTGTTTAAGCTTTTTTTATCCTGTTGGGGTAAAAATGTGTTCGGCTGCTGCAAGAGAACTTGAAATCACACTTGGCTAGTTTCTTGCGCTGGAGAAAGCTGAGCGAAGGACATAATTTAAAAGAAATGCTGCACATGTAGACAATTTTCTTTTCAATTTTAGCCTGTTATCAAATTAGCATTAACTGACAAAACATAATTTTACAAATGAGATTTAAGCTGCCAAAATTCTAAGGTTCAGATGAGAGAACTTTTGGGCAAAATTCATCAACAAAACCTAAGCTGACCTCAATAAAATCAACTTAGCATTTGCAAATGTGCAAGAACTGGAAAGAACCAGATGTTTGGTTTCTATTCAGTCCCTCTCTTCTGCAAGTGTAACTGCATAAATGTGGAATAGTAACCGGCTTATATGCAAGGCTGTTGCTTGATCTCAAAATGTGTTTGTAAAAGCATGGGAGCATTATTTGCCCCGCTTCGCAGATAGGACACAAATGCAGAAATTCAGGTTTTGGGAAATAACATCATGGGTCAGGGCTATGCAGTAGGGATACAGCAGCGTGTAGAAATAGCACAGAAGACAAGAGAAAACTGGGAAAGAGGAGGATCGGTGTGTTGCTCGGGACTCCTGTGTTCCAGCTAATGATGCTACTGAAGTGTATAAAGAACAACAACATCCTTCCTTCTTCCTTTCTTTTTTTGTAATTTTTCAAAGAGAACACTGTTACACCTTTTTTATAAACATGTTTTTCAGGTTTTTTTTTTTTATATAGTGCATATATTATCATTTTTCAAAAGCGTGTAGCTTGCTTCTGTTCACATGGTTCCTGTAAATTTGGATTTCTTTGAGACTTCCCCAAGAAAGCAGGATGTCTTTTCTGTAGATTTTTTTTTTCTTTGTTGTTAGTACAGTGTGAGACACTAAAATGAATGCTTGAGGCAGAGGTTGTAATAGGTTGTGCCCATTCACTGCTTGGGCAGAGGTATCCAAGTCTAGAAACATTTTGGTTTACCCAATATTTCTAAACCATGCCTTGGAAGAGGTTAACACTAGATTTGTATACTAAATGGGAATGGGTGTATTCAAAATTGTTGACACATAGATTCAGGTTCTCGAAGAACATGGGTAGTATTTAGCAGCAGCAAATAAAGAGTTTTCTCAGTACAAATGAGAAAAACTTGGTAATTAATATTTGAGTGAAAAGCTTAACAATTCAACACTTCTGTTAGATCAAGTAACACAAAAGTAGACTAAAGGCAGTTTTCAGTATTTTTACATTGTATTCAGATACTGTTTCTATAACAAATTATGTCCCTTTTTAACTGAATGTCACAAAACATAGTCTAGAATATTAGCTACAGCTCAAATTAAATTTCAAATTAAGAAGCTCCTCCCTAAATATCTGTTGTCTTGAACTTTCAGAAGATGGCTAATGAAAATGGAGGCACACTATTGTGTAATTTTTCTCCCATTAAAATCTATGCAAGTAGATTGCAGTTCTAACCGAGATACACCGTAATTGCTGAAAACATCCTTACTGACAGCTCCACAGCATATTAATGTTCTTCTTTTCCTGTAGATCCCACTTTAATGATAGATCTTTTCCTTTTAAATTGTAATTTTCGTCTCTTTCAGCCACTTTTTCCTTTGTTCTGAAAGAGCACGTGACTATTCTCCCTGGATCTGTTTAAGACAAGCCATCAGAGTTTTATGGGGACATTGTCGTACCGTATTATGGTTTGCTTAGAGGTTAGCAACCTTTTAAGAGTGTTATGCATGACGGTGTTATTCTTTCAGAATGTAGAGACTGAGGGTGCCAGCAGAACCTTGCTGCTAATTGGGAGATGCTGCTGATTGGAGGTATCTTGTTTTCTTACACGGCAATCATTCCTGGGTTCCAGTAAGTGAACTCAGCAAGAGCCAGGAGTTGGAGCCAGGGTGGAAAACAAATGCCTCTCCCAAGATGCCACGGGTTCCAGCTCCTTGCTCTGTGTCGGCCCTGCCTGCGTGCCGTTCAAAATCTGCACATGTGCTGTCTTTGGATCCGGTGCCATAAATTGCTAACCCAATCTGTAGTAGTCCATCAAAACCAAATGGGACAAGTCATTTCTAACTTTGAGGATTCATATAATTTTTGGTTAGAAAATAAAAAAAGGGTCTGGGAATACTAATTAGTTACTGTTTGTTCTCTTCTTTGCCTGCTTTCCCCCCACACACACATGTAGCCTTTGGTTTTTCTGGTTTTCTCTTGCTGTTTCTTCATCTCTTTTCTGTGTTAGCACCCGTATTGCCTTTTCTTGTATTGGACAAACCAACAATTACAGAATAATTCTTTCAGCCAGGAACCAGCTGCACAGTAGAAGCAGCAACCATCACAGCGGTTGACGCAGTACATTACGCATGTCTGCCTTGTAGTTCATTCCTTCTCTATTGTCAGTGAGTCGTAGTCAAAGACGCACCTTGAGCAAGTTCTCGATTAGAGACTATGGCATGATGTTTAGGAAGTCGTAGTCAGATGACAATACTGATAATAATGTTATTTTTGTATCTTGAAGATTTTTCATATAGAATGTAAGGCAAAAATATGTAAAGTGATATAAATGCATTACAGTCTGTTAGGTATATTATTGTTCTTGATGCGTAGTCCCTGCTTCTTCATGGCAATGACCCTGTAAAGCATTTCATGTATCTGACTATTTTTCGTTGATTTTGCTCTTTGCTTTCGTTTGTGTTCATTTTGGATACAATACTACTAAAATTTTAGATGAATGGATGAAGATAATATTGCCTCTGTCTCTTAGGCTATGATCTACTTAAGCTACTTCTTCTGGAGTAAGACCAAGATTTTTACATTCTCTTACACAGAAGAATTCCTTAGTGAACTATAGTATTTTGATACAAGTCCTTTTCACTACATACCACTGTTCTTGCTCTCTTCCCCTCTCCTTTCCCCAAATACTTCACCTGAGATTTATTTGAGATGTCTGCTGTCTTGGCTTTGGTTTGCTTACCGGAGTGCTGTGGGGCAGTGTGGGGCTGCGCTGAGCAGCAGCCCAGCTCCCCATGGTCTGATCCCCCTCCCCGGTGCGGTGCGTGTCAGGAGTGTCGCCATCAGCGTGTGCGGGCAGCCTGGACTCTGCCTGCCTGCCCTGGGTTTGCTGCACGCGCGCTGGGCCACCGTCCGCTACCTTCACCCTTGCTCGTGCTTTTCCTCCGAAACGCTGGGTTCTACGCTGCGCATACAATGCGTTCGTTGTGTGCAGTTCCCGTGGGCAGTGCAGGAGGGGGTGTGAGGCTGTTGCGGCTCAGCCCAGGCTGTCGCTGCCACCAGAGCATTTGTATAGCTCACATCATGCTATGATATTGGGAGAAATAGGCCATGAGTGCTGGATGAAGATAGGAAAGCTGTGGTAGCAGGCTGTCTACAGACTGCAGTTTGTGTAACCCGTGTTAGTTCAAGGTTATTCAGCAGGCTCATCCATTCCAACGCATACGTCAAGCTGTTCAGTTATCAACTTCAGCAGTCAGAGAACTGCATTTTCCTGAGGTGTCTAATGACATCCTCAAATAAGCTGAGCAAAGATTATCCATTGGACCTATGGAAAAAGTTTCAGTAATCTTCACTGTGTCTTAATGCAGTTGGTAAGAGTCGTAACATATTTAACTGGCAAGTTTAAATATTTTATATATATGTATGTATACACACTTTATTTCTGTTAAGTCTGGCAACATGGCTTCAAAGAAGTAACCTGCTATTTTCTAGCAGACAAGATGCAGACAACTCCTCTCCCCACACACAGTTAACTTAAATGAGTCAGTGTAGTCACATCTGCTTCTTGTCTCCTTTAAGGAATGGATGTATACAATGGTGTTAATAGGCAATATTTTACTGATATGTTTAATTTTTATCGTTTTCTTTTCTTAGGATGTGATCTTCGTGGTGAGCTGGTGGGAAAACTGAGTTGTAAATCACCCCAATGGATGCGGACAGTGATGTTGCATTGGACATTTTAATCACAAACGTAGTGTGTGTTTTTAGAACAAGATGTCATTTAAACTTGAGGAAGATTGCATTAGAGGGAGCAAATGTGATATACAAGCGTGATGTTGGGGTAAGAGATTCAACACACCTCAGTTACCTATTTTTACGAATGTTCCTTAAGCTAAACATTCTTGTGCCTGATAGCGGTGTATGGTGGATGGAGAAAAGGATAGTTTTATTTCTGTATTTCTGTCTTGATAGGCATTTAGTCTGTCATGCACTAAATGTACAGTGAGGGGCGTGGGTAATGCAACTAGTGAGTTGAATATTGAGTATAAGGTATGTGATGCAACCTCTTATGGATCGGGGTCAGTTCTGCCTCCCCAAAATTTGATGGTTTTGTCAAGAAAATACATCCTGATAAAGAGTCAGCAATGTGGGAGTCACTGTAATAAGAAAAAAACGAGCACAATGCTCGTGGCTTTCAGCTTTTTACTCAGAGGAAAATCTCTTCATTTAATCTGTTTTGTGAACACTGAATCACTAGCTGAGATATTCCACCTTTATTTTGCTCTTCTTGGGAGCTGGGTTTTTTTTTTAATTGCTGAAAGAGATGAAGGAACAGTTCAAGGCTATCAAAAATAAAGGACGTATTACTAGTGTAACAGTTAGATTTGTCTCATAGTTGTGTGTGTACCCATGTCTTCCCCCCCCCAGTATGAAATTGAACTACAACTAATTCCCAATTCTTCCACTTCTGTGTTGCTTTTTAGAAAGTATTAATGAAGCTTAGGAAACCTAGGATTACGGCCACAATTTGGTCCTCAGGAAAAGTTATTTGCACAGGAGCCACAAGGTGAGTTCACAAAGACTCATTCTCTCACTGTAAATTCTTGTGTATTTTAAAATATAATATTGTAAATGAAGAAGATGGCAAGAGGCAGTACTTGCCACTGTTAAGAGTCACTCACACTGGATGACATGTAGATCCTTGCCAAGCTATGTATTTGGGAGGAAGTTTTCTGTGTGAAGTGTCTGCCTCAGGCCGAGTTGAAATCTTAAGCAACATCAGTTCAGCCTTCTGGGAGACCAGCAGGAAAGACTGCTTTATGAAGAAAATCCTAGAGATTTCATTTGAGAACTTTTTAAGAATGCTATGTTTTTAGCCAGAACTTGAAACTTGGGAAAGGATGACCTTTTTTGAAGGATATCTCTTATTCTTTCATGAAAACCCACCTGAATTTGATGAAGTTATACAGTATTGAGGGACTGGAAAGAAGCAAAAGCAGACTTTCAGTTCAGATACATCTGAGACTCGCTCTTAACAGCTGAATTCCCTTAAGATATGTCTGCATTATGGAGTAAGGATAAGGTACAATAGTAAATTTGCATACTTTCTGTGTATGATCTCTGTCTCAAACTGGAAGGTGATTGTTCAGGATGTTAACTCCAGACTACCCGTCATTATATTTGTCTCTTAAAATTATTTAGTATCATGTATGATCAAAATACGTCTCCTACTTCAGCTGGAGCCAAGTGCCAAGATACTCTTCAAACAGGGCATAAAGGACTCCATTTGAATATCTATAGATAGTTAAAATGTAATATGTGCTGTAGAGTAAAATGAAGGCTGTCCATGTGATCATGGTTCACGCGCTACATGATATAACAGTTCATTTTGTAGTCTGAGTAGCTGTTGTGGTATGTGTGCACACAAATATATACTCTATTTCTGTTAATGCTAGATTCTTTTCTTTCTCCTTTGTAGTGAAGAAGAAGCTAAATTTGGTGCCAGACGATTAGCTCGTAGTCTACAGAAACTAGGTTTTCAGGTAATTCTAATGAAAAAGGACTTGTATGACTCAAGCAATGCTGGTAGTCCATTGTTTAGAAAGAAATAAAAATGAAGGAGCATAGCAATTTAGCAGTGAGCATATTTTCACTCGGATGCCCCTTTTGTGTTGGCATACATTTTCCAGATGCTGGTTAAAGAGAAGCTGGTTTATTTTGTGGATTTAAGTTTCGTTTGGCAGCTCAGAGTAGTGCTTCTTCACTGGCTAATGAACAACAAAATTTGTTTTAATAAATGAACCACCCACAGATGTTTCTTGGATAGAATTTACAGTATCTTGAAAGATTTATTTGGAAGGAGTGCTGAAGAGTATAAATCTAACTGCCATTTGAACATAATTTTCCCTCGTTTCTGATGGAATAGCAGATGCGTGACCATCTTGTTAAGGGCAAGTTTGAGCCTCTTTGATTAAAGGCGGGGGGAAGGTGCTTCCACGCTGTCAGGTTGCACAGCTGGAAATAAGCCAAATGAAATACTTGGGACATGAAACCCCTCTTTTTCCTCCTGGGTTTGGGTTAACATTAGGAGTCAAAACCGCCACTTGCATTTCAAAGTAAAGGTTGAAAACCAGCAACGTGAATGACTTAAAATGACACAGTTTAGTCCTCTAAAACTTTCTGGTAGTCAGTTGTGCTGTTTACCCACAGTGTCAGTTTGCAGACAGACAATTAAATAGACACAGTGGCTGTCCTTTGGCAGAGAGAGGCTACCTTTGATTGCAGTACATAAAGGCAGTGGTGACAGGCTATCCCAGTAATGCTGCATCAGACCGTAGCAGAAGTTAGACCCTCTTACCATTATAAATGCATACATTAGACCCAGCTTCTTAAAGTTGGAATGGAACATTTAATCAATGAGGTGAACAGTGCTTCCAGGGTGGATGCACCAAGTTTTGTAATAAAACTGAGCAATAGATACACATGGAATACATATTTATATATATATATATTCCATATGTATATAATATGTATGGAATATATTTTGAAGATTAAATTGATAGTTGACCTTCTGTGAGGATAAGTTGCTTCTACTGGTAGTATCCTTTTAAAAAGTTTTGACTGAGGAACGGTCATTTTAAGTTTAGGCAACCTCAGAAAATGAAGAAGCGTTTCTGCAGTGATACGGCCAACATGGGCTTCTCTGCAGTGCATTTGTTTGTTTAGGAATTGTCTGTTGGCTATTTTATTGTCATCTAAAAGGACTGTAGTAAAGAAAGCCAGTAGTGGTACTGAAAGCCAGTAGTTTGAGCTGGGTTTCACAGAGCAGCAGAGTAGAAAAACGGGTTGCCATACTGGCCACTGGATATTTGAAACAAAACAATTTTTGCCTTTTTTTTATTCTTAGCTTTAATAAAAATGATGTATAGCAACAAGGCATTAAGGAAGTTTTCAAATTGCATTAGATTCTTGTGAGAATGACATTTAAGCTTTTTCTCTGCTTATTTTGATGTTACATGAGCTATTTAATTTAGCTTATTTTCAGTTTAGAGGTGTTTAGTACAGCAAGTTCTTTCTGTGTCTCATTCTTAAACTGTAATGTTACCATGTAATACAACTGTGAAGTATAGAGTGCAACAGTTACTGTACCATAGAAGGATAAAGTAAGCAACTGAAGTCCACTAAGTACTGTTTAGATTCCTATTAGAAATGCATCATTTACAAGGTTTTCATTTTGAAGTCTCATCAAAATATTCTAATATTCTTCAAACTTTTTTTTGCAACCCATACATCTGCCTCACTGTAAACTGAATTTCTAATGTTTTTTTTCCTCTCTTTTGAAAAGGTAATTTTCACAGATTTTAAAGTTGTGAATGTTTTAGCAGTGTGCAACATGCCCTTTGAGATCAGATTGCCAGAATTTACGAAGAATAACAGACCTCATGCGAGGTACAGTAGGATTTTAAAGAATTACATTTTTATATACTACTAAAGCTGTTTCAGGTCTAAATCTATCTTTTTTACCTTTTATTTTGTTTTCTAGCTATGAACCAGAACTTCATCCTGCTGTGTGTTACAGATTAAAAACTCTCAGAGCTACCTTACAGATTTTTTCCACAGGCAGTATCACAGTTACAGGTATTTTTATGTCAAAAATAAATATTTAACTTGTTGGGATAATTTAACTTTAGGGCCAGTAGGTTTAGGAAAGGACGACGTTTAAAACAGTCAAAAGATATGTTGAAGGGATTTTGTGTAGATTGTTTTTGAGTAGAAGGGCTAGAAGAGTTGTAGAGAAAGTGTTATTATTGGTAGGCTCAAAAACTACTTTGATTAAATGTACATAGACTGTTTCTTATAGAAACAAAAGTGAAATAGGACTTGAGAATACAGGTGTTTATTGTTTATTTCAATATTTGAATTTCCTTCCTTTTTTTTTTTGTCTTCATAGTTCTGTAAACTACGTTGCATGTAGTGTTAACATCCCTTTCATAAATAGAAGTTTCCAGACTGGAGATTTATGGAAACATATAGGATAGCATAGCATTTTGTCATAACTGAAGTTGACCAATACTTGCGGTTCTTCAGACTGGTGCTCCCTTCTGTTAAAGCTTAACGGAGAGAGAACCACCACCTGAATCACAGGCATCAGTGGTTTTTTCCCATGTAATCAGAGATGTGATTGTCCTGGGTCTTGGAGATGGCATGCCATGTTTTTTCCTCTCTCTTCCTAATTTTCATTTTCTATTCTGTGTTATGTTTGCCTGTGAGGTGTCCACCACAGGTTTCCAGATATAAGAAGTCAGGCTTTTTTAGAGAATACCTGTTCAAATGGTACAGAACCAAAAACCATCACTTTTTTACTTCAGCGGGAATTGTGTCCTGTGGTTAGAGCTCAGGTGCTGGTTCAGAAGTTGGGTAGGGATTTTTATTTTTACATCTTCATTCCTTAATAAATACCTAGGCTTTATGGGGAAAGTTTCTCACAAGATACTGGGAGAAGTGTTTTCTGAAGAAGACAAACTCCCATCAGATTTGGTAATCTGAAATTACTGCAGAGGCTCACAGAGTGTGTTGTCAGCCTCCTAATGAGTCTTGATTGTTCATTGCATAAAATGGTCTGGTACCATTAGAAAGCATTGCTAGGTCATTCTTCCTTTTCTTTCCCCAAATGCTGATAGATCATGTTAGATAACCTTCATATGCTTCATCCTGAGACAGCAGTCATTCCCTGGCTTGCAGGTTATGTCCTGAGATCAATGGTGGAGCTATTTGTAAAATCCAGACTAGAAAGTAATAGTCTGTTATTTTCAAACATAAAATAACCTTGCTTGAAACCTACTTGGGTTAAATGCAGCATTGTTTAGGAGTAGTTTTTGTTGGTAGGTTTTTAAAAGAAGAGATAAAAGTGGCTAGGCTTTGAGCAATACAAATTCCTAGAAGATCAGCAAAAGGAAAAGTATTGCTTTTACCTCTGCCACTCAGTCTCTGCCACCTGCTCTGGGCTGACTGTTTAAGCCAGTAAATTGAAAAGCACCAAAGTTGTTATGAAATTAAATGACAGTATTATTTATTTGTAGTCTAGCCATTGACCAGTGTAGAACGTCTTGCAGATTTAATGTGAAGAGTCTTTTCTTGTAAGTAAAAGTGGTCAGAGGAACATCTTAATTTTGGAGAAATGGGGGAGAAAGTATTTTTGTCTGCAGTATAAAGTTGCAGTAGCTAAAAATATTAAGGTTATTTTAAAGATACTGTTGTTGTTTTAATTTCCAGTTCCCTGATTTTTCTCTTCCTCTTGCCTTTCTTTTTTTTTTTTTAATGTGTCTCAGGGCCAAACGTAAAGGCTGTTGCCAGTGCTGTGGAACAGATTTACCCATTCGTGTTTGAAAGCAGGAAATAAATTTTATAATTCACCACTTGACGGTTAGGTTCCCTAACCGAGCACCTTTAAAGACTGCTGCACATTGGACTAAAAGCAAAAAGGAAAACTGGACCAACCATAGCAGAGGAATACAGACTCTTTTACTTGCTCATGGCCACAGTATAAACTCCAGATCTTTTGGATTTTACTCTTAACAGTGCTGTATTGTAAAAACGGAAGTTTACAAGATACGAAATTGCTGCTTTTAAAAAGACATTCTATTTATTTTTGCAGTAATTTCTGTGTATTCATAAGCAAAGCTGTCACGATGTGCACTACCTTTAAAACATTTTTTTTTTTTAGTTTGAGCTTGTGTTTTATTTTTGAATAATCTTTTACATTTTTGTATGCTAAATATTGGGCACCAAAGAAGCTGTAAAAGTTACCTTTTTCACCTGATGAATGTGCACAAATAAAAGTTTGGAAAATATTTCTCTTCATACCTGTTCTGTTATATTTGTTTCCCTTTTTCTATTACAGTTAAAATTGTATAGTTGCAAATTAATTTGAAACAATGTAAGAATAGTCTTTTGCTGATACCTTCTGTTCCTGTTTGTAGAATGTGTAAAACTTTGTGCGTGGGTTAGACTGAAATCTATAGTAGTTACGTATGTTTATCCAAGGATGAAATTTGGTTTGTTCCCCATTCTCTTAACTACATGCCGGACTTCAAGTATTTTCTTGTTGTTACGTGAAGAGAAGACATTTCTAAATGCAAAGCAGCAAGTGTTTTCCTATAGGTGATGAGGAAATCTTATCAACTGAAGAAGCTGCTGTAGAAAAGCCAGCTGCCTTGTCCACCTACTGGATGCAAAAGGAAAAAAACTGTGGGAAGTTCAGCTTTCAGGAAAGCGGTGTTGTACTTCAACTCGAGGAGAGCGTATGGTCACGCTAATCCGGCCCCAGCTTGTTGCTGAGGGATTAACACAGACCTTTTCTACACTCACTGCATAATATTTTCATGACAGGAGCTGCCAACAAGCCGTGAAGCTTGGTTCTGGCATGTATTATTATTGGTATTAATCTTGGACTTGGAAGCCAGTAGATGTTTCTCTCAATAAGTGCACATCTGAAGCAGAAGAGAGGTGAATGCTTAAAAGTAACTGCAAATGCTACTTTTAAAAAGATACAATAAATATGTATAAATGTATGTATGTCTTTTTTCCCTATCTCCCTGAAGAGAAGTGTAACCCTGCTATTGTGTGCTGCAGGTAAAATACAGCCTTAGTGGGTGCTAAAAATAGTAAACTGTGAGCTGTCACTGTACCAGAAGTCAGAGCTGTGAAAGAAAGCTGGAAGAACATCCTGAAGAAGCAAATGTGTAGCGTAATTTATTTAATCTGTCTGAGGGCAGGGTATAGAAATTTGGACTGTCCGTAGTGACTTCATGCGGAAATTACGGAAAGAAGGGAGTAGTGTGGGAAACGCTCAACCAAAGCCATCAGAACAAAAAGAAAGAAGCAACAATTTCCCACAAGCCTTCAGTGATATATTCATAAAAGTGTTTGAAGCTCAGTGTAGGTAGGAAAGAGAGGACTTAACAACCAGGAAATCACAAAGTTGAGTTCAACGGTCACGGAATTTGTGATAATGAGCCGGGAGAAAGGGATGCTTGCTGTATGTAGGCTTTCCAGTTTGTGCAGAAGATCATGTGAGCCTCAGCACTCCTGGCACTAACGAGGATTTTGTGGAAAGCCAGGGAGAGCAATGGACAAACCACCATTAGGAAACGCTAGTGTACTATTACAATTTGAAAAAGAAAAAGCAGAAGGTATTTGAACAATGAACAAAATTGTAATGGGTTTTCCAGGAACAAAGTGTAGTCGTGAACTGATGAATGAGGATCTGGCCGTTGTAACTACAATAGCTGTCTTAGATTAGGCTTGCCTCTTTTTCTTTTGCATTAAAGTGCAAGGCACTTGAGTGCTACCAGTGAAATTCTGGACCTTTTATGAAGTGCATGTGTCTCCTAAACTTATCTCTGTAGAAAGAGGAACGTTTTGCTTTTTTTGTTAGCACTGTCACGTAGTATGAAATCTGCCTGTTAGAACAAAAATGAAAGGTAATAATAAGCTGCAGTGTGTTAAAATGGGAACTGTTTCTTTTGAAGTGCTGCTTAGATCCGTGCTAGCAGTGTGAGGCCTTCGTAACAATCTGTCAGGGAGCCGAAAAACACACTGCTAAACTTGCAGGGTAGCGTTGAGAAAGAGAATCCTAGCAAATAAAAGATTTCTTGAAATGTGCGTTCACCTGTCCTCCTAGCCCCAAGGAAGCCTCAAGCTGTTAGTGACAAATACGTGGCCATGTTTGCTAGAGCATTGCTCATCTGTCCCTGGGTTCTCCAGGTGGGTCCCGTGCAAACTCCGCACAGCGCTCGCTAGCAGCGCCATAAAAAGATTATTTTGCATTCCTCGGAGAGAAGTCTTCATTCTATTTATACAACCTACAAAGGGCTCCTTTTTCCAGTGGAATGATAACTCTGACTCATTGCTAGCTTGTGGGTTGTCACAGCCACCAGATCTTTTCCTGCAGTTTCTAGCTCAATTTTATCATTCTCTGACTTGCAATTAGCGTTACTGGAAAAATTTGCACTTTTGGAATTGTATCCTGCTTTTTTTCAGACCCTTCTCACGGATTTGGAAGCTCTGAATTCCAACCCAGTCTCTCCTAGTTTAGTATTACCTGCAAACTTAATAAGCATATTCTGTTCTGTAATCCAGTTTGTTAATGGTACCGAATAATTTTAGATTTGGGACAATTTTTTTTTGTGGAGGGCTTCAGAGATCCGGGGATGTGATTTGTGAGACGTGTCCCTTTTTTCCCTTGTATTTTCGTAGTTGGTGAGGTTGTGACTGCCAGTTCTGCGTCATCGGATGTGCAGGCTGTGTTACAAGACCAGCATGATCAGGGCTCCATTTATGGGGCTGTATGGGGCTAAGTCTGTAGGACTACAATTAAGACTATGGCTATAGTGATTTAAAAAGCCCTTGACTAACATCATCGCCTTTTGGAGGTATTTGAAGCTATTGGGGTCTCTGCAGTTAAACCAGTAGTGGAACTATGCCTTCTTCAGAAAGGTGGTATTTTTACCTGCTTGTTTCTGCACTAAGTAGGTGTGCATGGGGAAAGTTTAGAAGAGCTCGCAATCAACCCAAGACCTGTAAGGTGGGGAGACAATTTCTATGGTATTTTCTGAGTTAAATTTATTTTTGTAAGAACACTCGCAAAATTTCTTACAGCAGAAGTTTGTCTGGGAAGCTGCAATGCTGAGAAAGATTTTGCAGGAGCCCCTTCCACTAAATGTGATGTAACAGAAATTGTAAGCCGGTATAGGCTTAGATTGCACGTGCAGAGGTCTGCTATCTAAAGGCAGCTAGCACAGAGCAGGAGCAGCCAGAGCAAAGGGGGATGCTGTTGGAAATGTGGGTAATCCACTACCTGGTAAAGTCACAGGTCAGGGAATGGATGAATTTCCTGCAATACAGTCCTACTAAAAATACATTGTATTACTTGGTTTAACCTCAGGCACTTGTTAGTATAGAATGATGTTGATAAACTAACAGCATATTCGGAAGACTACCCAGAGTCACCTTAATGTTTCTTGTTCTGAAGCTGATTTAGGAGAACGTGTGATACTAATAAACATCCTCCAGCCTAAACACAAATCAGGTGGAGAGATTTCTGTAGATAGCAATGCTAAAAATCTGAGGAAGGTACTAACAGGCCAAAACCCAGAAAATGGTGCGTTCAGACTCTGTTTTTTGACATGATCACTTTACAGTTGTTCAGAACTGATAGTGGAATTTGTAGATTTTATAAAAAGAAAATGTCACTGTTGATCTAAGAAAAAAGCTTTACAGTGTTAGCAGGTCCAGCCTGCAGCCCTTTGCTGGCACTTGAGAAGTTCTTCTGGATCTTTTGCTTTTCTTCAACAAATGCTTGCCAGGCTTCCAGGCTTGACACATACTCATTAGGCGACACATGGCACCCACTATGTATCCCGTATTTTATTATTCTTTCCATTTCAGTAATAAAATGTATTGTTTTCTCTAGCAAGAAGGTATTGACATTTTTGAAAACTATCCTTTGCTTGAGCACACTAAGGTTAAAAAAAATTTAATTCTGGCTGTGTATCACAATGTGAGCTGATCCCAAAAGTGCAAAAATCAGAACGCTGAACTGAGCATTCCAAATTAAAAGAATAAAAAAAGAAAACGCCAAAAGCCTCAAACAAAAAAACCCACCAAACCTTGTAGGTTTTGACCACATTCTGGTTCTTGGATGCCTCGCACCTCCAAGTTGTGTGTGAAAATCTAAGGTGAAAAATTCAACCTGCTATCCATGAAACATCCACGCTTTGAAACCTCAGCTGCCACTTTCTCCCCACAGCCAAAGTCAAGCTCTGACTTCACCTCCACTTGCATTTCGTGTGCCCTCCTCATCCATGGCTTCTCTCCCACTGCTCCAAACCCAGCTGCCCAGCTCTCCCTGTTTCACACTGCTGTGAAACTTTCACGTGGCTGAACTCTGATGCATTTTGCATTCTTTACTATTTGTGGAAGTTACAAGAATACTCTTACCTTTGCCAGTTCCTGCTGCTGCACCAGACAGGGAACTGTTACAGCTGAGGTCAGGGAACCGCACGCAGACTCTTTGCTGTGGGCTCTCTCCCTTGCAGGGACAGAGGGACCTCTTCTAGCCTCTTGTGGACAATACTGGAACTGTAGACCTGAACCAAAATTCTAAGCAGGTCTTCCATTTTTATTGGAAAATTCAAAGGAATAGAAACCAAAGTTTTCCATGTCTGTGGAAAAGGTGGAAGCACCTGAAATCCAGGGTGGAATTTTAGTTTGGGATGGGAACCTGCCAATTCCCCATAGGGAATGGGAGCAAAAGGCTTTTGAGCTCAATGCCTCTGATGGAGCCTTCGGTCTGAGTCACCTATGTCTTGGGTGCAGAGCCCCACTGTCTGTCCATGTGTCCTGGGTGTGCATGGTCTCTAGTTGCTTACAGACTATGTCAAAAGGGCTCACATGCGAAGATTTTACTTAATCTTTGGTACATTGTTTAGGCCAAAAACTGTGTCTTGCTGACCCTTATGCATGCTATCATAAGCACCCTGGAAAGGAGCCCGGCGTCATGGCACCCGCGAGGTTATTGTGAAGACTGCTGGCGCTTGGATCAGGACAGAAAAAAAAAATGAGGCAGCCATAAGCTGGCCAGCTAGCCAGTGGCCTAGCAATTCAGAGTTCCGCTTGTTTTAGATGACATGTGATCTGCATAGTTAAAAATCCTTCATTGTGATAACTACTTACCTGAGCTTTGTACCAAAAGTCCAACAGGGTTTTGATACAGGTTCCCTTAAATCTTACAATGCAGGAGAGTTGTGGTACAGATTTGGCCAGCAGGTTCCCATCCTGAGGGAGCTATATTTCCAATG